GTTTGCTTTTGCATTAAATGCACTTGTATGCAAGTTTGTTTGAAGGTAAAATGCAATTGCCAATTGCTGTGCTGCCAACCTTGGCTATGTACTAGCTCCACAGCTCGACAGGTGGCACTAAAAGCCATTCGGCGGAAGTTAGAAACTCGAAATTCAGCTAAAATAGTAAAGTTACTTAAAGTGCAACCAAATATTGTGGAAAATGGGAAGACATAACATCCGTTAGAAGTTTTTCCGCTTAAAATGTCTGCCAAACTCAAAGTTATAGAAATTTTAAAGGCGAAAAGTAAAAGTTTATAAGAAGACAAGACATACGAAAACTCAAATTTCAATTAGAATTCACAAATAGTTTTAGCAAACAGTGTTTGTGAAGACTAATGAGAAGTATTAAGAGTAGAGAGAGTCGCAAATTTATAGTGCTTTTAAGCTATATAAAACAATGAACAAGGCAAAGATGAAGTTTGAAGAGAGTAGAGTAAAAACTTTAGAGTGCTGAAGAGCTATGAGAAAATTGGAAACAAATGGGCAAACTTTAGAAATAAACTCATTTTAATTGGAATTCCTATTAAATTGTGGCAAAAAGGAGACCTTCAAAACCTTAAAGACATATTGTGTTATATAGCTCAATATAGAATATATATATATATATATATATATATATATATATTATCATTATTACAATATTTGCCAATATTTGCAGAAACGGAAACCTTGAGAAGAAGAATCTTTATTTGTTTTTTATTATAATATATCAAATTCATGTAACAGCTTCTATACTACAGAAATTTGTAATACTGATACTCGAACAGTGTTTTTATTAACACTGATTTTAAAATTTGAAGTATAAAGCTGAGATTCAGCTAATTTTGGTTTCCATATAGGAAACTTAAGTAGCTTATAAGCATGTCTCTGGTTAGCGGAAAGCTTTAAGCAATAAAAGTAGTGCTGTTAATAACACTTTACAAAATGGTCATAATAAAATTAACTAATGTAAAAGAAAACATATATTTCTTATATTTAATTTAATCAAAGGCGAAAGCCTAACAAATATTCCTCAACGCCATAAAATGGTTTGAGCTTGGTAACAACATTTGATAATGTTGGCGGAACTGAACTAAATTATTAGCTCGCAACATACCTCATTAAGTGCCATAAACTTGTTTGGAGCCCTCGTTTAGTTATTTATTGCATGTTGCACGGGTCACTTTTCCCAACTGCGTCACGTAGGCTTAACATATACATATACCTATACCACACACACACACGAACGCACCCACACACATGCGACTAGCTGTCATATTTAGCACAATTTTTATTTAGATAACGCTCGTGTGGGCGTGTCGTGGCGCATGGTTCGTTCAGCCACGTGCCACGCATCGCATTAAAAAGCGAATTTGCCGAAAATATATTTGCAACAATTTATCACGCGTTTTTTGTCACTTAACAAATTTGACGCCTGTTCATTGCGGACCTCTGCCTGGCTTCTACTGCTCCGCCCCATTCGAATTCCCGCCCTTTTCGCGCTGGCTCTGTGCTCTATCTCCCTATCGTAAGCTTTGTATCTGTTGCCTGCCAGCCATGGCGTAACATCAGTTTAGAGCGTTCATTTTGCAGTAATTCAAGGATGCCACGGCATGAATATAACACACACACGCACACTCACATAAGTGGTCGCATATTAAAAGCTGATGCTTTGATAACATGAACGACAGTTTCGGCTTGCATTTATAAATTGTCGTGTCATTTATTATGACAGCGTGCACGATAAGGAGCATGTCACACACACACCCTCATAGACACATGTATATAATTCTACAGTCACCTGCACAAATTTACTTCCTTTGGCAGATGAGCCACAACCAATCAAGCAAATCAAACAGCTCACTGCAAACTAGATTCGTATTCAATTTCCGCTCTGCAAACGGACACAAATTAACACACACACATACACATACACCTTCGTGTGGGAAGGCAATAAAATGCACAAATTGATTTGAGACTCCCCAAACAATGGGCCAAGATTTTTCATAGCTTTGCCCCGAAACTTTTTGGCACCTGCATTCAATTTGATTAAATTCACAAATGATTGCCAAATTGCAGACTTGCAAAATCAATCGAATATGAAAATATGAATCTTAAGCAGGTAGACATTTAAATACTCTAACATTAAAGTAATGAGTCACTTAACGAAGATTTTATTGTAACGCAATCAAGCTGTACGATAATGTAGGCAATGTTAGCTTATAATTGTTCAGTAAGTTAGTCATATCTATATCTTTTATAATTACTAAATCTCTATAAAAATATAATAAATGTGAGAATATTGTTATATTTTACTATGCTGTAGCTATTCTAAAATGACCCTAGTTATATTTTGTATCTATATATCTATAGGATCTCTATACCACTTTTTGATAAATTTAGTCTCTAATTAAGCTGAAATATATTTATTTTACCTTTTCTTTATTTACGCTCCCTTTCCTTTTATTTATTTATTTTATTTATTTACTTATATTTCCCTTATTTTGTATTGGTTTCTTCCCTTCTATTATTTCGTTGTTATTTCTTTTTCCTTTAACGCACTCTTCTGCATTTCTCTGATCTCTTCACGTCACCTAATTTGCTTGCTTTCGCTTATCTTTCTTCCCTCAGATTCTATTATACTCTTTTCACTTTCTCTCCTTTTCTCTATTTTGCTGTCACATCCAACTTGACAGAATCCCATTACCTCCCATTTCTTGAGCACATATACGTATTCGCAAGGACCAACAGGTGCTAAGCACTCGACCGTTGATAAATTGATTGCTATATTTATCAAACTGTCGCCTTTTTCTCTCTCTATGTGCGTATTTGTGTGTCTGTCGTAACAAAATATATTTGATCCGATTTGCAACAACAATACCACAAATCGTACAACTTGCGGGGCGTCTCTTCCGAACTTCGTCCTCCAATCGGTTGTCAACGCTTGTCTGCAATCACAGAGCCGATTCAAATTGGACAAAGGCAACACTTGAGCACTTGGATTCTATTACAAGAACAGACACACACACACAGTTAGATACACTCACTCATAGGTAGCTGAGGCAGCGGAATAGTAGTTGTCTCCCTTTCGCATTGTACCGAATTGTCGGGCACGTGTTGCAAATGTAGTTAAAATTATGATGAAATGCTTAACAATTGCATAGCTGCCACAGCAACGACTCTACCCACACAAATTCCGCTTTTACATTTACATTTCACACGCATTGATTAACAAACATCTAAAGAACAGACCCGCCAGCTAAATAGTTACCATGGCATCTTTTCAGTTTCTTTCATAGTTTTCGCCCTCATCGATTTTCCCCACTAGCAAATCGAACACTTAAGAGCTCTGCCTTATTCCAAACCTCAAGTTCGAGTCAACTCACACACACACACACACTCGCACACATATATTATAATACCTAATGCGAGGGCACTTACCAAGGTTCTCCAACAGCACTTGACTTTGCCTGCGTAAATTACCACAAACAGACTGTTTGGGGCCTAGGAGAGAGCACTTTGCCTGCTTTGGGTAGTAGTTGATAAGTGGGCAAGGCCATATTAATTAAGTCTTTAGTTGTAAAACTTTGAAGTGACAATCGTGTTTTAACTACAGCACTTAGCTCTCTATAGAATTTAATTTCGCAATATTTGGCAACAGATTCAAAGCCAGGAACACTCGACTCGAGTTTAATAAACAATTTAGTATGCGGACAACCTTAGAGTAAATAACAATTTGTAGCTCCAGCAAATGTATATCTAAATATAAAACACTTTATGTGGAGTTTATATCGACATGTAAAGCTATAGAAGACTTAAACGCTTTTACACAAAGCACAAAGTGGAATAACGATATGAAATGTAGACTGAAACACGAACTACTTAAAATGAAATACATATCTACTCATCTACCTCTCCGTGGAGTACGAATACACACACAAACACCCACACATACAATAAAGGGCAGCACACACAAAGCGCAATTGTTGCTGCTTAGCTCGAAGCTCGGTAAACTTTTAGTTGAAACATTGCATTTATGTGGCCCGAAAGTGCATTAAATATTTGCAGTTGCAGCAACAAAGGCAGCGGCAACGGCAGCGGCTGCTGAAGAAGCTGCCCTTTCAGTATAGTCTCTAGCCCCTGGAGGCAGCTAACCTCATTATAAAAGGATTTTGCATATTTCACCAGAATATAATATATTTAACAGATTTGGCTAAGCTTTTATCGGCTGCACAGCCTGCACAAACAGTGAATTTTTAATTATATTGCGGCTCAAAAACTCTATACAATTTAGATATAAGTATCGTATGATATATATATATATATATATTTATATATATATATGTACAATGTCCTGTATGGCCATGTTCTGCATAATTATGCAAATGTATTGGAAGTTTCAAGACCTGGACACGTGCCAGCACACACAAAACAAAAAAAAAGAAAAAGAGGAAAACTTTTTCAACAATTACCAAAAATTTAAACACCCACACACACACAAAGCCATTGGGTGGAGCTTACAAATGCTTTAGATATATATATGTAGATATAAGGTAGTTGGGTTTCGGCACAATATATAGGGGTAGCTAAATATTTAAGCTAAACATAAATCTGTACAATGTTTTGAATAATTAACTTTTAGGGGCCTGTGGGTTACTTAATGTTTACGAGTTAAGTAGAAATTAGCTAAAAATGTTCTATATATACACAAAAATATTCAATCACACACACACTCTCACACACAGAAACATAGAAATATATATACAGAGGATATAGGTGAAGAGTAGATAGAAAATTTGGCAAGCAATTAGTGATAGCTCTAAAGGCCTTGCAGCCGGTTAACAGCGCGTTAACAGCGCCTTTACAGAGCATAAACATAGCGATAGTTGAGTTAGGAAAAGAGAAAAAGAGACAGCCAAAGACCTGGGGGCTGGGGTATTTGTACATGGGTTAGACTAGGAGAGGGGGCTTCACTTTACCTGAACATTTCAGACCCTGATGGTAAATGCCATAGAGTAGAGAACCGCAATGGTCACAGAACGTGGGTCCTGCGTATGTGAATGGTTCGAAATGGTGCTGAGTTTTTGGTGAATCCTTCAGTTTTTATTTGTTGTTTTTTGTTATCAATTTTAATGCGTGTAACGTGCCACAGTTTCGAGTTAAGTTTATTTTTAATTTATGGTGAGCGATGTGATTTTGATAGATAAACAAAAATGTTGTTTTTGTTTGTTTGTTTGGTACATGAAAATACAAAATACAATTTGTGGTAAATAAACAGAGCACGATGACAATAAAACATTGCTAAATGGACAATAAGCAGAACTAATTTTAGGTCTAAATTGTGTTGAGTATTTATTTGTTATCTCATTGCTTATGTTAATTGCATTCTACGTAGTTAAGCAACTAAACTTAACTTAAAGTTTAATTTTTTTTTGTGGTGCAAACTTTCAGCATTTTCATGTGGTTTGTTTGGGAAATTGTTTTTTTACTTTTAAAGATTTTTGTATTGGGTTTGAGCGTTGTTGCCACTTGGTTCATTACAAATAAATAAACAAAAATTTAAATAAATGAATAAATATATATATATATGTATATATTTGCTTACTATATGCTTATATAATATTCTTTTTAAAGCCATAACTTTTATATTTTAATTCTGACGTATTCATTGAAATTATAGGGCAAACTTTGCATATAACAAAGTCTCAAGTTTCGGCTCACCAATATTACAATTTATTATCGTATACAAAACTAATAAAATTATTTATACCTTTAAAATTCATTATACCTTTATTCCACTTTCTGCTTGATATTTTATTCGTCTTACTCGAATCTGTGCTTCAATGCTACCTCAGGATAAACATCATGTTAAGTCTTTTGTTTAACATTACTAATTTACTTGTTCTGTTTAAGTGTCATGTGCCTCAGGATAAACATAATGTTAAGTCTCATGTTGAATTTTTTTTAATTTACCTGTTATCTACTGGTTAGTCGCTCATGTTGCACCTCATATTAAGACAGATGCTGAGCTAATTCAGCTTTATATTAATACTATTTTAATTATTTTGCTGTCATATAAATGCAGTTAATATTTTTGTCGTTAGCATAAATAAACTCAGCCTTCACTTCATCTTAAACTGTCGCATTACTCTACATCTCTCTGACAACTGATACGTGTGGCGGCTTTGCGCTGGGGACAACTTATAGCCGGGGCCAGCATAAATATGAAATTCATGGTATGCTAAAAAGTCAAAATGACATTTTGGTAAGCCAACAACTGAGCTGACAGAAGCATCAGCAGGCAAGTCATGACGCTTGAGTCTGGAATTTTTTCTAGCATAAAAAAAAAAACAAAAAAATAAAGAAATAACAAAATGACAGTTTAATTTGACAGTGCAACAAAACAAAAAGCTCCATGGAATATATATATAAAGAGAGAGAAAGAAAAGGGCATTTACTATATGAAAAATTTGTTGGAATTCAGTTATTCGTTCTTTTTTTCGCCCACACACATGAAAATGCCGCAAACTTAAAGCTAAAACTAAGTAAATATAATAAGTTAAGCTTGTGTTATGAGAGTATGAAATATATAGAGGGGGATCACTTACGGAATCAATGCCTTTATCCTTGCCGGGGCAGATGAAGGTGACATATTCATGGCAACGCTTGTGCACCACATACGAGCAGACTGAGAATGAATCAAATAAATTATATAATGTCCTCCATACATTCGGGGAATTTTGAAATGTGGCTATTTACATACCTTGACACTGGAATCCCTGTTTGCCAAAGCCCCTGTAAAAAGCCAATGTGAAATTTTAGTCAGAATTAGTTAAATTACACGCCAAATGTGGTTGCTGCTAATTTGCACTAATTGAATTGCCATTGGAAGTGTGCTGTGTGTATGTGTTGTGTATTGTGTGTGTTAGCCACTTTGCATAAATATTTAATTTGCAGACACAGCAAATACTTATTAATCAATATGCTAATTTTTGCCTGGCTCCTTGCCGCTTTGCCTCTTTGCTCACCATAAAATGCAATCAATATAATTAATATAGAAAAGCAAATGGATTGCCTTTACAGGTCAAAGGTCAGCAGGCCTCGCAGCGGAACAAACAGTTCCTAAGGGGCTTAAGCGGAAGCATTTCTGATTTGTAAGCTCTTTTATAAATAACTTTTACATTACTGGCATATTTTAAAACATATATTCAAAATGCAAAAGGTATATCAGAGTGCAGTTACAGTCGACGAAAATATACTCTTGCAGGGTTAAGAAACGAAGTGACTTTTGTTCGCTATATCAATGGTTACTGTATGTGGCTGTGCACCCAATGCGCGTGGCTTTTGAATTAATCTGTAAAGTGGGTCAACAGAGATCCATTTGCAAGATTAGTTGATTCTAGAGCTGAACTGTGTTAAATAAAGTCATGTAACCATATAAGCATTATACTTCGTTTAATAACTATACGAATCTTTAAATTTATTTGTTTTTTTTTTACGAATCTATTCTATATCTGTAAACTTGTTTAAATTTACTTTAACAAAATTATTGACAACTGTGTTCTCTTTGAAATGATGGTAATTTATCAGCACCTAAACATTTACTTTTTTTATTTATTATATTTTTATGTATTATATATTATTTTTTATTTATTTTTCTCTTAATATACTAATAAATAAAATTCTTAAATTTTTATTTTTTCCTAAGTGAAATAAGAAGTCTCTTTGCTACAATTATTATTTATTATTGTGGTAATATATAACTATTTAATTAAGATATATTTGATGTATATTTTAACTCTTCAGAATTTAATTATTATTGCACTGTATATTTTTTTATTCAATTTAACTATTTGATAAACTGTGGCAAATATTTGTTTTTATTACAATTGCAAGAGAAATTTAAATTAATTTTTTTAACGAATTTGTTTGCTTGTTGAAAACAGAAATTTGTTATGCACAACGCATATTTTGTTGTTGTTTTCAGTGCTCTTTATGTATAAGTGGGCGTGGGTGTGTGTGTGTGAGTGGTTTTCGAATTTGTATTGCCTACATTTGAGCTTAAGCGTTACGTCCGAGTGTTCGGTCCAGTTAGAAGGGCGGGTGCGCTTGTGTTGGGGCTTACGTTGCCCGTCTTAGGCATATTCCATAAGCCATAAATGCCTTGACCACAAGCCTCTTATCGACTGAACTCAGGCCGTAACCCCAAACCCTTCTCATACGATGCCATATGTGGCACGCAAATAAATATATAGATATATATACGTATTTATATTCGTGTGTATGTATATTTGTATGCATATATACAGAAGTATATACAGCATATATGCATGCAAATTTTCTCTATTGGTGCTTCTTTGTGCAGAGATTTGTATATGTGCGCTTTGCTGACGAAAGCCGTTTCATAGAATACGGAACAAAAGTAATATATATCAAGGGAGACAACTATGGTTAACTTATATATGCGCTTTATCATTAGACAAACTACCCACTCGCTTTAAATTTATTTTACTTTCTATTAAGCCCTAAACTTTTGAAATTTGATATACATTTCTAATGCAAATATTTACAACAAGAAAACAGAGGCGTGGTCGACTTGGAAGAAGTGCTGAGCTTATTTATGAAATATGCATTCCATGTCAAAGTATTGCAAATATTATTTTTTGATGTCTTTCCACTTCCACTAAAATTGAAAAACTCAATTTTTATGGCTCTCGTATATATATGTGATGCATATATTAGCTGTAATATTTATGCGCTCCAAATATGATTAAGGACCCAAAGTTATTTAATAACTAATTTGGGTACACGTGCTTCTGTGTCTGAGTGTTAGATTAATTAAATCCTCAGTTCAGCGTTGTGTTCAAGGTATATTCTAGTCGAGCATACACTGATGACAGCAATTTTACTAGTTTGTTATTCTTCATATAATTATTTTCAGAATTACAAACTATTATACATTAATTTTTAGTCTTGTTGGGTATTATTCCATTTACTTCCCTCATTCATAGCTCATTATTATATTTATATAGCAAACCATACCAATCAATTATTATAATCGCTGTTCCTGCAACATATTCTATTGTAAGAACTGAAAGGAAATATAAATTACAGCCATTTCCTGGCTATTCACAATGCTATTAAATTTCCATCACACTAAATACAATTGTTTTGTTTTGTTTTGGTACTCCTCATTGTGTTTGAAATAAGACCCCTTTTAATTATTAAATAAATTTGGGATTCTCAATTGCACAAATCCGATTAGACTTCAATGAAAATTAACTATTTAAGCGCTTAGGCCCTGGGGCGGATTTTCTGTATTCATTTAATAATTTGCACTTTAGTTTTATTACAATTAATTTTTTCGCTTGCTTTGAAATGTTTGTCAATTTGTATGCTTTTTGTTCGCTTATTCAGTTTTTTTCTTTGGTCTTTGTTTGTTTTTGTTAGTTTGCGAATCAAATGAACTGAAAAGGCAATTTCCATGCGCCGCGCCTGCAGATATGCTACACAGGTATTTTCCATCCGCGCTTGCCATGCCTAGCCTAGTTTTTCCGCTTATTTTTCCCTGCAGTTTTTTTCCAATTTTTAATTAAGCGCATTTCTCGCAGCACGCCAACATAAAGAAAAAATAAAAAAAATTTTGCAGTAAAGAAAAAAGCAAAAATTATTTTGCGAGTTGATGCGAGTTAATTTAACACGCAAGCAAAAAACTTAAAAATGCACGCTACAGATTTAAGATTGATTTAAAAAGTTACGCAGATAAAGTTATACGAGTTCGTGACTTTCATTTGTAATTAATTATATGATTTACTGCTTAGAAAATAAAATCTAGAAATAAAAGGAAGTTGAAGTAAAGTTTGGTGGAATTTTATTAATGGACGGCATCTTTACGTATTTTGCCTCTCAAACTTATATAAAGAAACTTAAATTTGCTTTTGAAATATATAATTTATGGGAAATCTTAATAGCCTTTATTTGCTTCAAAGCATTTAGTATGTAAGGAAATTTCAGGGTATTTTCCTTGCAAATATCTCTTATACACTCGCAATATTTCTAGTTCTTGCTTATAAAATTAATCATCTGTAATATCCATAAAAAAAAAACGATATATATTTTGCTTAATTTTTAAGTATTTATTAAAGCAATTGCAAAGTTCTACTTATACGTCTGCATCTGTAGCTGTAGCTGAGTGCTTATTGAGAGTAATGACTTTCGCTGCTTACAGCAAATGTCATTTCAGTTGATTGCACAAAATCAATAATTGTGATAAGCATTTGCTCTGTTCATAGCATTTGATTTATTTATAATAACGATACATCAATATTTCGCATGACATATCATTTTATGGATTGCAGATAAAACTAAACAATTTATGAATATCTGTCTTCATATAAGTCATATATATATGTATATATATATATATATATATGTATATATATATATATATATATATATATATATATATACGTATATATATATATATATAAACATATATATATATTATCACAGAGGAATCCTTTCTCATAAACAAATTGTTAGCAGACAAATAAAATACTTTATTTGTCTGACGTGGTCAAGGCATAAAAGAACGCAATCTTCCACATGCTGAGGCATAAAAAACGTGTTAACTTGACTGCATTTAGATGGTAATGTATCTTGAGTATACTAAAGTAAAAGGCAACGTGTCGGAAATGTGAAATTTGTCAGAGGTGGTATAATTCTTATACCCCGTAACAACTGACAAGCTGAAAAGGTATACGGCTGGTCTGCAGAGGTTGAATAAAATATAAATTTAATGAAAATAAATATTTCATATATATTCATATAGGATTTTTATTTTTTCATTTATGTTGCATATGACCTTAAACCTTCTTTGAATAAACTATACAAAGCATTTAAGCTTCTTCTTGAAACTTTTCAAAGTTCTAGAGTTTAAATTATTATCATATAATTTGTATATAATACAAGGATAAACAAATTTATTTAGTTTTTAGTATACGCATTTAGGCTATAATATAATACTTTTAATATTTAGTACAGCAGAAACAGAAAAATAAGTGAGGAATTTAATTTAACTCCCAGCTACATTTTAGTTCAGTGCAAATAAGATGTTTTTAAGCACTTAATATAATACACATAAGTACAGAGTAACTCCTAGTCAGTACTCGTCTCGATCAGTCTACGCTATGCTGTTTTTTCTGTTCTCTCGTCTCTGTTATGCAAATTACGTGGCATAAACACTGCGGCGATTTTCACTTGCTTCCCCCAAAAGCAGTTAGCCACCTGGGAAGCATAGAGGCAACACCACACGTTAACATGCCCCATTTACCCCTCTCTCCAATCCCTGTGCGCTCACCTGCTATGCTACGTGCCTGCAACGCCTTTTGGGGTTGTGTGCACCCAAAGAGCCAACAACTATTAATTAAAAGGCCGAAACGAGTCGCGAAACGCGTTGCGAGTCGAAAATTGTAACTCGAGTTGTTAATTAGCTGCCGCTGGCCAAAAGAGGCGTACGCAATGTGGCCAAAAGAACAGCGAATACAGCTGCGAAATATCTACGCATCTATGAGTATCTGGGTGTAGAGCCAAAAGCTGGGCTGTTTGGCTCGGTTTCACATGGCTCAGTTGCGTTTGGAGTCCGGTTTTTGTTGTCGTCGTTGAAACTTGGATCATTGAATCGCATTTTAAGTAGCAATTAATTTAATTATTGGCTAAATGTTTTATGGCAATTAGCTAAGAGCCAGCGACACGCCCAACTTGTGGGCGCAACAGCATCCGAATTGACTTGTTGACATGTGCCCAGCTATGCGATTTTCCAATTAATTTTCTTGTCATTTTCATTGTGTGGCTTTTCAGCTGTCAACGCAATCATTAGAGGCCTTTGACATTCGAGTGCTATTGTGAATTTTCAATTTTGAATTTTAATTAAGTTGACAGCCCAAACGTATTACGCTCGACAAAGTCTTTCCAAACTATGAATATTTAATACAATTAATTTTATTTCAATTTATGTAATGTAGATTATCAATTATATTAACTTATTGAATGCTCAATATTGCATATGAAAATATTTGTTTAAACGAACCTTGAATTGCATTTGCTTCTTGAATTCAGTGTTTCAAAGCGTTTAGCTTTAACCTAAGCTCTGCACTATACATCTAAATTATCAGGTAAAGCTTTAAAATCTTAAGCTCTTCATCACAGAATCCTTTTCTTCATTTTCAAAGTATTTTTATTAATGCCATTTGATTGTATGTGATACCTCCTAGAAAAGGAAGCTTTAATTTAAACTGATTACACAAACCTTGATACAGCCCTATAACTAAAGGTTTTATAAGTATTCATTGTCGAGTCTGTCTCGATATTGAATCTGTGCAACTCAATTACTGAGTAAAGCTTTACATTTCACAATTCTTAACAAACACTTCATAAAATTCTTCTTAAAACCATTTGAGAATTTCAAATGAATAGATTTTTAAATGTCTTGTTATTATAATCTTTAATTAAACCTAAAATGCAAATCAACTAGCAAATCGAAATGAATGAGATTTATAGTAGATATTTGATATATCGCTGGAAATACCTACATCCATGCATATCCCGATTGATAGCCGCTGTAAGAATAGAAACATATAATATTTCCCAGAAAAGGTATGCAGATTGGCAATTTGTTAGTTCACTGGCAAGCTACGCAAATATTTTCTAAGGCTTTTGCGGTGCCAACACGTTCAACAAATTATTTTTGTGTGGAGATAGGTGAACCGCAAGCTAATGCGCATGAGATTGGTTCATAATCCACAAGTCAAACTGAATCGAAAGCGAAGCGGGGCAAAAAGCCAGCAACAGGAAGAGCAACAGGAAAAGGGAAACGGAAGAGCAACTCAAACTGCCAACTGGCCCCAAAAATTTTGTATTTCTTGTGTTTATTTTGTATGCATAACAACGGATTAAGCAAGATTTTGAGAGCAGGCTTCACTTAAATTAAATATTACACGACCAGGGCAGACTACATGGTACCGTTTAAAAGCGTAAAATTGGGCATTATGCTTACAGCATACAATGTGTACAGGTGCTCTATACAAGTAGATAGCATGACAGTTAGATATAGTTTATAATTTCTAAAGATGACTTGATGAAAATTTGCATTGCGGAAGGTATTATATTGTAGGAGTATGAAGCATGTTGTTACCAGTATCGATTGAAAATGCATTTGCTCTATTAATACCATTACTATATACCATGCATCTCAATCAAGCTCAGCATTTAAATTTTTTTTTTGAAAGAACAACTTTTTGTTTCTTAAGATATACTAATTAAACGCATAAATTATGATGTATACAGTGAGAATCCTAACAAGCTATAAGACAACTTCTATTATACAAGTAGCTTCTAAAAGAGCAAAAATGAAAAGTTGAAGAGCATTGGCAAAATATTATATGCTCTTGAATGACAGAAATCGTTTTCTTAAAGCGAAACTCAATGATGTTAATCAAAACATTCTTAATGATCTCAGCGAAGCTGATTAGAATTATATTTTATATATATTCTCAATTACCCATCTGCTAGGGTATCTAAGTGTCGTTCCCTGAGAGTTTATTTTTATCTCTGGTTTCTAGCGTGGTTCCATTGCAATGTCATTTGCTTGGCTTTAATGTGTCGCTTTGTTATTTTTCTTGTTGTTGTTGTATCTGTTGCTATTCTCTGCCCAGCAGTTAGGCATAATATCGATTGACGTAGTCTGCTTAGTTATGTCGCCGATTTTGCTGTCACGGCGTAGACCCACAAGTGCCGGGTGCTGAACATAATCTCAAGAATTTCATAGGGTATTCAAGAATTTATCTATAAAGATCAAGTGCAAGAGTCAGGGTGGTTCCTTCTCTGAGTTTATGAAGGCATTAAATATTTAAATTTATGTGACAGCAAGCAGTAGGACAAAAGGATGTGTAGGCAGAGACTGAGCGAAAGAGAACTCTTAAGGTACAAAACGTTCTGCTTACATTTTTGAATTTATAATTGAAGTATTTTTATTTTGTCTGTAAGGAACTAGATAAAAGAATGGAATATCTTGTGAATGTCTCAATTGCCTTAAGTATTTAATCATTTTTATTCTTGATGCTATTTCAATGCTATGTTGTTGACTGTTTGGGGAAACTAAGAAAGATAATATTGAAGAACATTTAGATTCACCTTAAACTATGTGTATGTCTATACATATTTAATAATAGCCAAATTCGTAAGATTTCATTTAAATTAAAAGTGAAATGCTTGCTTAGGAATTTCTCTTAAATACTCTATTAAAATATTCAATAAAATATCATCCGTAAGTATTTATGTTTTCGTATTACTCTAGCTTTGTTATTTCTTGCATAAACTTATTTAAAATATTATTCAATATTTTACTCAAAGTTTTAAAGAAATTTGATTATGCACATTACATAATGAAGACTTATTACTGTTAAATGTAATGTTCAAGCTAGTATACTTTAAATTATAAAACATTGATCTATAAGTGCTCGTAAAACAACTATTTTTATATAGAACCGTACTACTTAAAAATAATATGAGTGTTTTCTAATGAAGTTTTTAATTTATGATTTTAACAATCAACTCCTTCAATAGCATTCGCAGCTTGGCCTGCCTATGTTAATTACACTTCAATAGTCTAACTGTCAGTTAAATTTATCTGCTAGTTAGCTTACCAGATGAAATCCTTGCAATGGGAACAGAATGTGGGCTGCTTGAAGAATCGCGCGATGAAGCAATGATCTTTTACATTGAAGACGTTCTTCTTCTTGAGTGCTCCCTTACGCAGACGTGACTTCATTTTGTTTTCGCCCACAGCTTCGCCCTCCGCCCCCTGGCCCTGGCTCTGCTGGTCGCCATTGTTGTCGCTGCTTTCCGACATGTTTGTTGTTGTTGTTGCTTTAGCTATCGTACTTGTTGTTGGTGTATTTATTGTTGTTATTGTTGCTGCTTAGTTGTTGCTCTTTATGAGTAGCATAGGTGGTTTAACTAGTGGTTCTTGTTGTTGTTTTTGTAGTTGTTGATTCATTTGATTCTATTGCACACCTGTCCGTTTATTGTTGTTTTTTCTTGCCTGCTACTTTTTGTTACGTTTTTCTTTGGCTTTTGTTGTTATTTTTTCTGCTTTCGTTTTTTAATATTATTGATTTTTTATAGGCAGGCAAATTAGAATGCCTTTTGTTAGCCACAAACTGAGGATCATAATAAAAACAATAATAATAAAAATTATTTTTTGTAATTTTGTTTTGAAATGCAAATTGAATTTCTGCTCGAGTTTGCGCGAGAACAAAACAAAACAAGCGCGTCGATAAATTAAGAGAAACCATAAATTTCACATGTGAAATATATTAAACGAAAATTAAAAAACAAATTGACAAATGCACGTGGCGCGATTTCAATTGCTGCAAATGCCACAGAACATATAAAATTAACTTATAAAAAATTATATCGCTTCATATTTTTTATTTTCGCGCAGTTCATTAGCTGTTTAATAGTTGCTGTTGTTGTTGTCGCTTATTATTATTTTATGACTAATGATTGAATATATAAATAATTTGCATTTATTTTATTTTGTTTCATCCATGTGTTTTGCACGCGCGCGCTGATAAAAAAACGATATTATTTAAATATACACATACAAATAAATATTTTTTTATTTTGTTATTTCTTATTTATTTTTAATTTATTTGTTTGTTTAAATAGACACGTTTTGCCGCCAGCTGGAACCCCTGCCCTGCTTCTGGGCCAGCAGCTCATTGTTCTACCCGCTGTTAGCCGCAAAAACAAGAGCTGTGCGATTTATATTAAATTAAATACATATGTAAATCACAGAGAACTGGAGAATGAGAGAGTGAGCAGCGACAGCACAGCAACAGTTATAATAACTGTAACTGTAAACAAAGCTTTACAATCTATGCTCTTTTTCGACAGTCTTTGACTTTTTCTGCGTGCACGTTTGTTTACTTTTTTTCACACTCGCACTCACAGCCGCGCTCACTTTGTCACTATCGCTTTCGCTATAGCTCGCACTCGCACTCGCACTCGCAAACACACAGAAATTCCAAGGAGCAACTGACTTCGCGTGCTAGCCAAGACGTTGTGAGTGTGCGAATATTTTCACACGCTGTAAGAAGCACACACAGCCTGTCCCCTAGTTGAAAACGTGGTGAGTATGACACAAGCACAGGTAAAGAGAGAGAACGCGCTCACAGTCAAACTCACTCCCACACGCACACACACACTTGTTGTTGGGCAACAGTCGAAAGGGGCGCTTCTCCTGATTTTCTCTGTACACTCTTTACGCGACTGCTGACAGCACGTGCGCTTCGCTCGAGTTTCAAACGCGTTCTGATTACTCGGGCAGCCATTTTGTGCTCTGCATGCTATTTACCGTAGCAAGCTTTTGAGCGCTGTGCTGCCGCTGTTAACTAGCAAACAGCTGTAATGACAACTGTTATATTCATGTTATACGCTGCTAATATATATTGTTTGCATTGATTAACGAGAGTTGATCGCATTTGACATCATTTAAACGCTAATTATCGCGTTTGCCCCAAAACGTGTTAATGCCGCGTTTCGCTTTTAATTGCCGTTGAGCTCATAATTGCATTTGAGCGCTGTTAAAGCGACTTTTAAGCACACCAAAAATCAATTAGATCGTTTGCAACGTAAATGTAGCAGTGTAGCACAGTTGATAACGAAGCTGCCATACACTTTCTCTCGAATGAGTGAGCAACTCTTATATGGGCATCTGGCAGTGCCGTCCACTGTGATTATATTTTAATAAATCGTATTAGCATTATTATAACATTGTTTTCGTTACTTTTAGTACTTATGTTTGACAGATGTAATAAAAATCTATGAATTTTAGTTTTCACTTTGCTAACATTACTTTACGGCTGCAATAATATTCGTTTAGTTAGTGTAACTGAAAAGTAGCTCGATTGATCAACTTTTATTTTGGGACTGTTCAACTGTTTGCCTAGCTTTTTGTAAGCAGCCAATAACTGGAACTGTTTCGTACTTATGACTAGGTGTCGAACTACTTGTATTTACGTGCCCCAACCGCAACCTTCGGGTGCTGCGTGTTTTTTATTAGCGCTCAAGTGCAAAATCTGATAGGCAAGTGTCACGTTTCGTGTGTGGGGCCAAAAAAACGAATATGGAAAACTATTGCGGCTAATGCAATAATTATTTATGCATTCACTTTATAAAGACATATGGAAAAGAGTAGAGCATAAACTACAGCAACTCTTTTTTCTGCGCTACTTTGCTCCCGCTCTGTGAGTGACTCTAATAAAAATGCCAAATATTTGTGCAAAGCTCTTAGATTTTCAAGCACACACAGAGAGACAAAATACACACACAACATGCAAATTGTGGTAATCATTTACATTAGAATGGCAAATAAAATGGAATTTGATTTAATGTTTTGTGTGTCTGCTTTGTTTTGTAATGCGCAGAGGAAACAGAAAAATATAAAATAATAAGAGTTTGCTTCGCTTTCCGATTTATGCAGTCATAAATTTCAATAAAAGCCACAAGCCAATTAAAACCCATTAAGGATGCGTTGAGTGCCAGAAAGATAATTATACAAAACTGTAGTCACATGTTTCGTATCGCAGCTAAAGATTAGGAACTAGTTCAAGGGCTCTTAATGGCAGAGCCATAAAGTGGGAGGTGCTTAACAGAAATGGAAAATAAATTACACTTAAGTTGAACTTTTACTTTCGCAACTGTTAAAACTTAAGTACTCTAGAAATTTACAAAAAAAAAATACTAAATATGTATAATATATTTCATTTGGGTCGTCTCTGCAGCTGCTTTTCAGCTAACACTGCCTGCAGGCTTTTGCCTCACCTCTTCATACTTTCTTTCACACGTCTTCTTAAGGCTGGCCCTCAGCTCTGTTCAATGAGAGGGCAGTTCAACAAGTTTCAGTCAAATCTTCAGTTTAGTGTTCAAATCATAAATCATGTCTTAGTAAAAATAATAAAAAAGAGAATAATATATATTTTTTAAGCTAATTCATTTGGTTACAATAATCATATATTTTGTATATAAATTATTTATAGCTCTTATCTCATTTGTTACTTATTAGTGATTAGCTTAAAAGTCTTTTGGTTTTATATTAAAAAAATTAATCACTTTCCTTTCCCATATTTTGTATAATTTTAATTTTTATAAACACTATTATATATATATAAATATATATACATATATATATATATATATATATAATTATACATTTTATATCACGTTTTCAAATTGCCCTCGGCTTTTCAGTTGTTTAGCAACGCTGAATTCGCAAAAAATAAAAGATATATATGTATATATATATATTTGTGTACATATATGTATCTAAACAATTAAAAGATATTTTGTTTGCGCTTGTGACGTCATCTGTGCAGCTGGATGAAAACAATTTGCTAATTACGAGCGGCAATAAAAATAATTTAGCTTGTAAATGCAACAATAATAAATAGAAAAAACAACAACAGCCGCAGCAACAACAACAAATGTTAACAAGACAGCCGCAAAAAAGCAATTAATGAAAATTTTACACGCACAAATGATATTATGTGGGGGCAACTAAGCAAATTGTGGGCGTGGCACGCACACAGAGGGCAAATGGCTACAATTGAGGTAATCAGACCAGTGCAAAAAATGTAAAATAAATAAAAACTACAACAACAAGAAGCAGCCGTCTGCTTGACTTAAATTGTAAGCACATCAAATTCATAAAATGTATTTTTATTTATTTCCATTTTTGTATTTTATTCGATTATTTTATTGATTAGTACTTAACAAATATTGAAGTTCGAATTTATTTGATAAAAATAAGCTAATAACTCATTATTATTTATATAGCTCATTATTTTGTTATTACTGCGCCATTTATACTTAATTAATTTGTTATTTATGTATTTTTACATTTATCAACTTTCTTCATTTACATTTATCTATCATATTTGCTTAATTTTATTTATTTTTGAATAGATTTAATTGATCTCTTCTTTATAGATTTTATTTTTATTTTATTCGTTTTTTTTTGTATTTTCAAATTTTATGCTTATATTTTTCTGATTTTCATATTTTCTTTATTGCTTTTTTATTAAACTTTCACAATTTTGGAAAATTTACTTAATATTTTTCTTTTTAACTGCATTATTTATTGTTATATTTATTTTATTTATAATTTTGGGCATTTGTCTGATGTTTCTTGCAATCTTTTATTTGTATTTCAATTAAATTTTTTCTTAAATATTTGCTCCCATTTTTATACTTTTTATAATAACTATTTATTATGTTATGTATATATATATATTATATTATATTTTTTCTCTTCACTGTATACATATTTTGTATGTTTTAGTTATATCATTCATATTATATTTAAATTTAAATTATTATTTATTTCTTTTTTTTTTGCTCTTGGCTACTTTAAATTACTTTATTTCGGTTTTTTTCAGTTTTTTCGAATATTTTTATTAGTTTTTTTGCTGACTTCGTTTCTATATTTGTCACACATTATTTATTAATTTTTATTCTGTTTGTTTTGTATTTTGCGCATTTTATTCAAATTCATTTTATTAGTTTTTTTTTTCAATCTCTTTGCTTTTATATTTTTATACGCATATTTTGTTTGCATGTTGCGCTTATTAATTGAATTTACGCCAAAAAAAGAGCATCGCGTCGCTACTTAATTGAATTCTTTTGTTAGTTTTTGCCGCTTTGTCAATTGAAGCAAAGCAAATTGCACACACATACACAAACACACACACGCACTGGAAAGCACACAGTGTGCCACATTTGATTAAATAAGAGATTCGCCGCATGCAACAAATGTTCCAGCAATTTGCCCTCGAAATCGAATCAATCATCGATCGCAAATGGAGGTGGAAATCGTGGAAATCGATGCCGCCTGCCGTTATAAAAAGCACTTAACGAGTCACTGAGTAGCGTTCGACTGCACCGTACCGCGCCGCACCGCCTATTCTCACCAGCTGCTGCTCCCTCCCCTCATTCACTCGAGTTCTTTGCCGCCCATCGAATCACACTCGATTTCGTACGTACGCTGGCTCTTCGTATCGTTCAGATACACATACAGTTCAAGTCTGTCTGCCACACAAAAAGCGAGCGCCTGGTCAGTCGCTGATCTTCACAGCAGCCCGCAGCCAGCAGCCAGCAGCTGGCAGCTGGCAGCGCAGCTGGCGTCACGGCGTCGTCGTCGCCGTCACCGTCGCCGTCGCGTCGCTGCTTGTCGATTTGTTATGACGGGCCACACCGGTTCGACGCTCGCGACGAGCGACGATTGGACCATTGTGCAAGCCGACAGCAAAACCGGCAATGCTCAATTGCGCGGAGGCATTCGATATAGGGTATACCGAAGTGAGGTAGTTTAGCAAGGTCAAACGATTTGCAATATACTTCTACTATCCATAAGCAATATGTACTTCTTACTCTATCTATTAATATAGTTATATATCTATCTCTTTATACATACATAACTAGTTTTTTTTATTTTTTTTTTTAAATAAATAGACGAAAACATTTATTTGGCTTTATTTCCTTATTTTTAGTTTAAATCACTTTCAAATACTCTGCCTCTAACTTTCTCTTTATTTCTGTGTAAATTTAATAGTTAGTTTTTCATTGGTATCTTTTGATATATCTTTACTTCTCTAACTTACTGCTTTTAGCTAACTATCTTTTTCTAGTTCTCTTTCTCTTTTTCTCTCTAATAGCTTATTATTAAATTTGGTGTATTTGTTTATAAATGAAAGTAATCCAGATTAGCTTTTAAGTTTATTTAGAGTTATTTACAAAAAAGATTATATATAATATGGTTAGAGTATTTGACATTCGTTGTAGATTCTTCTGAGCAGTGATGCATTTGTTGTTCTTGCATTGACTTTTATTTCATTCAATTAGCAGCGGTTTTTGCAGCGATGCGTTGGCGTCTACTGCTATGGAAATGAGTGCAGACTAGCCAGCGTTCTCTCTCTCTCCAACATCTCTCTGTAACTCGCTCTCTCACTCTCACTCTCTCTCTCTCTCTCTCTCTCTCTCTCTCTCTCTCTCTCTCTCTCTCTCTCTCTCTCTCTCTCTCTGTTTCTCTCTCTCATTCAACAATTGCACTTTTGGCAGCCACTTTTGGCCAGCATCT